CGGGCCGTTGCCCTGACTGGGAATTGAACCATGACATCCTGGTTCATAGGTCAACACTCAACCATTGAGCAACCCCAGCCAGGCAGTAGGAGATTATTTAAAAAAATTTTTTTTTTTTTAATTTCAGAGAGGGAGTGAGAGATAGAAACATCAATGATGAGAGAGAATCATCAGCTGCCTCCTACACGCCCCCCTGCTGAGGATCAAGCCCGCAACCCGGGCATGTGCCCTTGACTGGGAATCAAACCCAGACCTTTCAATCTGCAGACCGATGCTCTATCCACTGAGCCAAACCAGCTAGGGCCGGGCAGGATATTTTTAAAAATGGATTTTTAAAGAGAGAGAGAGAGAGAGAAATGAGAAACATCAGTTTTGTATATTTTAAAAAATGGATTTTTAAAGAGAGAGAGAGAGAAATGAGAAACATCAGTTTTGTTCCACTTATTTACAAATGCATTAGTTGGTTCTTGTACCAGTATGTGCCCCGACAAGGGCTCAACCCTGCAACCTTCGGGTATGGGAACGGTGCTCCACCCACTGAGCTACCCAAAAGGACAGAGATGTGGGTTTTCTAAATGGTGATAAACGGGTCCTTGTTCTCACTCAGAGCCTCTTATTCGGGGCCTGGGTGTTTTCCTGGGAGCCGATTAGCGAGAGGTGCTTAGTGCTCTGTGCGGACCTCACAAATCCCTCTCCCTCAGTGGCCCTGGGGATGGTCTCCCGGTTCCCAGGCTCTGCTGGGGGCTTTGGCCCCAGGTGTGTTCCAGGAAGGAGGTCTGTGCCAGCCTCCCGGGGGTGGGGCTCCAGGTGGGCGCGCTCCTCCTGCCGCCCCAGAAGTGGTTTCTGGAAAGTGAAGGTGCGCAGCCCCCAGGGCCTCCTCCTGTCACCCAGCCAGCCCTGGGGAGGAGCAGCCAACTGCTTCCCCTGGAGGTGCTTCCCCGTCACCCTGTTCCCTGCAGGAGCTGCTCACGCTGATGTGAGGGGACAGTGACTGAGGGGCAAGAGGTGAAGCTCTCTTTTCTTCCATGTTCTCTTCTCATCTCTTCTCTGTGACCTTTCTTTCCCCGTCTCCTTGCTTTTCTTGCCAGTCCATGCTTTCGCCCTGGAGCCACCTGAGGACTCGGGCGCAGGTGCACGTTCTGTGCAGGCGTGTCCCTGCGGTCATGCCGCGTGGCTTTGCCCCCAGGGAAGCCACCTCTCTCCACCCAGGTAGATGGGTGCCCAGGTGGGGATGGTGGTGGGGGGTGCGTACCTCTCCAAACCAGCAGGTGTCGAGAGGGGCCCGGGCTCCGTGGGCAATGGTGTGGTGGTCAGCAGTGGTGGGGATGGTGGGGAAAGATGGCCAGATTCATCCTCAGTGGACGTGCTTTGGCGTCTGTGGAGACGGAGCTGAGACAGCCAGCCTTGTGCGCAGGTAGAAGTTAAAGCCCCCGGCAGGGCCTGCGGTACAGAGGGGCCCCAGCTCCGGAGACAGGGCAGTGGTGGCAGCAGCAGCAGGTAAGGAGTCAGACCATCGAGCACCTGGAGACCTGATCCAGGAGGAAGTGGCTGGTACCCGAGATGGCTGGTTTAGTTGTGCCCTGCCTGTGAGACCCCAGCCCCAGAGGCGAGGGGCGGCTGCTCACCTGACTTTGGTGCCCTTTGCCGCTCCCCTGGAGGGCTAGAGGGATGCCGAGGAGAGGCTGTCCAGGGTAGGTGGCCGGGATGCAGACCCAGGCCTGGCCTGCCAGCTGGCCCCAGGGCCTTCCTCTCACAGCGGGTGTGGGTTCCCAGCTGGGCTCAGCCCCTGCCGGGGTGGGTGTGCCTGGGATGCCAGGAGAGCTGCCGACGGCAGTCTCGGGTCAGTACACCAAATGCTAACAGCTGCCCACTCCGGGAGGGGAGGCAGTGTTAGGGGTTCCTCCGTGTTTGCCGTGCTCGAGACTTAAAACGTAAAGACAGAGGACAGGCCTCCTAATTGCCCGTGAATTTATTAACCGCTCGCCTCCTCCCCCGGGAGCTTCACCAGGCAGGTGGATTAGCTGCAGGGAGGGCACTCCAGGTGGCCCGGTCCTGGTTCAGCTGCTGGCACTCACGCCCCATGCTGGGAGGCTGCTGACCTGATTGGCCTCAGCAGCTGTCCATCTAGAGGGGCAGGATGGCTTTCAGCAGGCCTGGGAGCCTCGGTCAGAGCAGGAACATTCTAACTCTGACCCGGGGGGTTCCAGAAAACAGCTGGGCTGTTTTCCAAAGGGGCTGCACGTTGCGCATCCACCAGCGCTGGTGGGACCCTGCTTTCCCCACCCCCTCGCCAGCCCTCCTTGCAGTCCTTTCGGTTATAGCCACGCTGGCGGGTGTGACATGGCCTTTGTTTTTTCTTACATAGATTTTACTTATTTTTTACATTATCCTCCCCTGAGGATGTTTTCTATGGATTTTATTTTTTAAAATTTTGAAGGATTTTGAGAGAGAGAGATCAATGGACGTCACTCCAAGCAGCAGAGCCACCGGCGAGGGCTTGCTGTGGTTTTGGTCTGCGTGTCTCTGATGGCGACAGGAGGCCGTCTTCCAGATATAAATACTGTTAAGCACCCACGGACTGAGGTGGCATTTTAGCTCATTAGAGTGGCACAGGGAGCTTTTCAGGCCGCTGGACGGCTGTTCACTAGTTCCCGCTCAGGGCTGGAGGAGGGACAGGCCGGCTCAGGACAGGCCATCGTGGCTGCTGCACAACGAGAAACAAGTTGTGTGTTTCAGGGGCCTGTAGGACCCTCATGTTTGTCATTAGGCCGAACCAGTCAAAACAAGCAAATCCTTAGTTAAGTGCAGTTCTGACGAGGCCGTAGGGAGCTGCGGGCGCGCTCAGTCCGCCTCTCCCAGCAGCGGCCGGTCTTCTGCGCAAAAGCCCACGGGCGCCTTCGCACGGAGTTGCCTACAAACACTAGGTTTCTATTGAATCGGCTGCCGCTGGGGAGCCCTTCGCGTCCTGTGCCAAGCCCTTGAGAGATCGTGCACATCCTCGTAAGGGTGGCCGCTCACATCGTTTTATTCGCCGTGATGCCCCCTGCGCGGAATCCTGCCTGGGGTGGTGCGGGGCTGAGTGGCCGGGAGGCCCTGGGGGGATCTTACAGCCGTTCACTAATTCCCGTGGATATTTTTTGAGAAATGGGTGCAGTCTTCAATATTCACAATCACCTGGGCCAAGCCTTTGCCCAGAGAGCTTGCTGCCTTCAGAAGCCGGGTGTAGCCCTGCCGGGTGGGTCGGCTGGCTGGAACGTCGTCCCATACACCACAAGGCTGTGGGTTCGATTCTCAGTCAGGGCACATACCTCGGTTTCGGTTTGATCTACATGGGAGGCAGCCAGTCGATGCCTCTCTCTCCGAAATTGGACAGGCTCCGGCAGCTTGCTCCGTGTCTGCTAAATAGTGTGTGAATATTCTGGAGTGCTTGCAGATTACAGGAAGCTAAGGTTAGACTGTGGTTGTGTTTTGGGGGGTTTTTGGTTTATTTGTTTATAGGGTTTTTTTGGTTTGTTTTTCCAAAATCTTTATAACAGACATTCCCAGGTGTGCCCACCCCGGCCTGTCCCTCTGCCCCCGGTGACATCAGACGTGAAGGAAGAAGCAGCCACAGCGCAGGCCTTTGTGTCCCAAAGGCAGACCCGTGCAGGGGTGTGGTGGGGCATGCCCAGTCCTGCACTTCCGCCCCGCCTGTCCTCCCACCCTGGGCCTCTCCCTGCTGGGAAGGGCTCCATTGGGCAGATGGCTCAACCTGACGCCTGTTAGGAGCTGGCAGCCTCCTGTCCCCTCTGTTCCCAACCAGCCTCTTCCTGGTCTTGCTTCCCTGGCCCACCCCCGAGGCCCACGCCCTGTTGAACGAACAAATGAATGACAGTCCCGTGCCTTTCCCGGGCTTGCTCAAGGCATCGTTTGGTCTGGTCAGCTGAAGATCAGGCTCATTTGACCTTTGTAATTGGGCATCTTTGTAACGGTCCCACCTCTGCACGTAATAGGCTTAAATGGGTAAAAAAACAAAACAAAACGGGAAATTGCACATAATGAGAAAAGACACCATGCAATTTTAGGTTCTTATTATGGTGCGGGATGATTTTTTCCTCTCTTAGCTGCCTTTAAAATACATGCATATATATATTTTATTCCAGAGAGGTGGGGGTGGGGTGGGAGTGAGAGATAGAAACATCAATGATGAAAGAGAGTCATTGATCAGCTGCCTCCTGTATGCCCCCACCCTCCCACTGGGGATCAAGTCCACAACCCAGGCATGTGCCCTTGACTGGAATCGAACCCAGGACCCTCAGTCCACAGGCCAACACCCTGTCCACTGAGCCAAACCAGCTGGGGCTCTTAGCTGCCTTTTTATCCACCTTATCCACGTGCTGCTCTGTGCAGACCGTTCAGGAGATGGTGGGCTCGCTCACCCTCAGAAGGCGGCAGAGGGGCCGGCAGGTGGGGGAGGCTGTGAGGGCAGTAGCAGCTTCTAGCGGCCTCGTGTCCCTGGAAGATGGGAGCCTGGATGATGGGAGACAAAGGACATACTGTAGACTCTGAAAAAGCTCAAATGAA